TTCTCTTGGGCTTCTGCTGACCCTACAAGGTGCAGGGTGCTTTCATAACGTCCCCACGTCCATATAGCGCGGGAGTAGTGGGATTGAGTGTTCTGACTTCGACACCTGCACCTCTTCCACTCTGCTACACCCTTGCTCCTTGTGGTTCTAGGTGAGGAGCAGGTGCTGGGAAGGGACGGGAAGCAGAACAGGTTAAACAGTAGTAGCGTTCACTGTGTGCCTGCAGCGTGCCAGGCACCGTGCTAAGTGCTCGACAGTCGAGACCTCAACTCAGTCCTATACAAACCCCGTGACAGGCCCTGCTGCTCACCCTGAATGCCCTGAGGTGACAACTGTGGCAAAGCTAAGACTTGAACTCAGTTCTGCCTCCAAGTTCCTGCTATGAACCCCGGCACCCTGTATCTCCTCTGTGCCAGAGAGCAGCCTTGGGCCCAGCAGCCCTCAGTACCAGCATTCATAAAACCAGGTGAACCTGCCATGGCACACCCCTGCCATGGCTCCTGTGGCCTGTGCCCGTGAGTCTCAGAGCCGTGGACATGTTTCCAACCTGGCCTGCAGGGAAGCTGTATATATAATGACTTCACTTTCCCCTGCCAGTCAGGACACACTGGTAATGCTGTATCCCTAGAGGGCCCCTATGTTCCATCTACCTGGAACAGTCCCAATTGTGCACGTTGTTCTGCCGTAACTATTAATAGTGACCTCAGAAGGATCCCGGGTTGGACAGTGAATCCCATCATCATCCTATTTAAAAATGGAACAGTTTTGAGCCTACAGGAGGCAACATCTAAGGTCCCAGCATTCTAGTATTTGCTGCAGGAAGAATCATTTTAGGTTGAAAATAAAATATACGGTGGGCAGCGGCCTCCTTTCTCCTCCAGCTGGTTCCCAGAGGTCTTGGCTGGATGCGAGCCTGCCGCAGCCGTCTCTCCACGCTCAATTTTAGGAGACTGAGCTGAGAGTCAGAAGCTTGGTTATCTGAGTTAGGACACCTCGGCTGAATGAACTCCCTCCCTGGTCCAGTTGCTCATCAGTTAAGTGTGGACCGCGAGAATGAAATAAGCCTGGGTATGCATGTGCCCGTCATGGCTAGAAGGAAGAGCTGTTAGCGCAGACGCTGACAATGCAGAGACGAGAGGCTGTGTAGAAAGGCGAGTCCGAGATGAGGCAGGCCGTGGAGCCTGGAGGGGATTCCGGGCAGTGTCTGGGAACTAGGGTCCTCGGATAGCCAAAGAACGGTTTGTCTCTGGGGCGACGCGGCGGGAGCGCGTGGGAATGCGCTGTGGCCGTGTTCCATCAGGCTGCTGTGTTTACCCCAGGACCTGAGCGAGGCCTTGAGCGTGGTGGAGCTGCAGCAGGAGCTGGGCCTGCAGGCCATCGACACCCAGCGGGAAGTTTTCCTCTTGGCGGCCAGCGTAGCTCCCGCAGGCCCTGGCTTTGAAAATCCCGGCACTGTGCACATCTGGAAACTGCTCCTGGAGCTTCTCTCCTAGGCCGGAGCCCACCTGCTCGCTGCCCACCTGGGGACCACAGTGCTGCTGCTGCTGCTTCCTCGCCAGCTCAGGCCTAGAGTCCAGGCCTGGGGCACTTTCCTTCTCCCTCCTTTCACTCCTAAGAGCGAGGCCAAGAATCAAGCGGAAGCCTTCCTGCCCTGAGGCTGAAGCAGGGAGGTGGGTGAAGCCATCGTTGGGAGAGGAGAGTGCCTGGCTCATTCTCTGCGCCAGCACAGATCAGCCTCTCGTTCTCTTTCCTGTGCAGAGTGATGCGGGGGTGGGGGTGGGGGCAGTGCTCCCCCTGGCAGTTCCCAGCAGCAGTACGGGAGGGACTCCTGGAGGCTCGGGATCTCCTGGTCTGGCCTCTGGCCTTCTCCCGCGGGCAGGCTCTAGGCACTGCGCAATGAGCCGTTGCTCCCGGTCCCACGCTGTACTCCCGCCCTGCTCTGCCTAAGTGGCTTGTGGCCTTCCTTGTGCAATTGCTGCCTCTCTGGCCCTCGGGCCATCGTTGCTAAAGGAGAGTGATTTCCAGTTTTTCCTAACTTGGAAATGCAGTTCCCAGCCAGTGCTAGGATGAACCTGGAAACCCCGGCCAGGAGCTTTGGGGAGACCCTCCTTGCTTCCGCAGCCTGCCAGCCTCCCCTGATAACAGAACGAGTGGTACTCACCCACGACACGGAACGGGAGAGGGCTGCCTTCCCCCCCAGTCTGGAGACAAGCTGCTGCTTTTGTGCTAACTGTGCCAGTGCCATGTTTACACAAGTCTGGGGTAAGACGGAGCCCGTGTCCCGGGAAGATCATCGGCTGGAGCTGGGGTTGGCCTCAGAACTGCGTTTTATTTATTTATTTATAAAAGGAACAGGCCAAAGTTCTAGGTTCTGTTTCTAGGTGCTGTTATCAAAACCCCAGATGACCCCAGAACATGTGGGACTTTGCAGACAATACCTTGGAAGCACGAATGACAATGAGATAACCTGCAGACGCCAATGGAGACAGAGCTGTAGCATCCCACCCTAGACCCCTGGCCTTTGAGCCTTTGACTGATACCGTAATATTTCACATGGATTCACTTGACCTTACTTAAACTCCCGACCTGGCCCCGTATGTTGAAGATCCCTTCTTGGAGACTGTGGGAGAGGAAATTTTTGTTATGCCCAAAAAACCATGAAAATGTTTCCATCTGGTGACCCCAAAGGACACGAGCAGTAGACCACGTACCAGAGCCTCTCTGGACCCATTCAGTCCCCAGCAGATGCAGAATTGCACTGAATCGCTGGGGTTCTCTCCAGTGCACATCCCATGGCTCCCATGCTCAGCGGAAGGCCAGTCTCTGTTGACAGTTCTCGTGGGGGCAGCCAGGAGCCTTTGGTCTGTCAGGGCCTCCTGAATAGTCAGCAGTGCCCAGTGGACTTTTCCTGTAGGACAGGCTGTCCCACTGCGTTGCTTTCTGATGGAGCATAGAGATTGTGTGCCTTTGTTTCATTTGCTGTTGTCCCAGCATGCATCAGTTCTGTACCATGGCCAGTGTAGAAGGGGCAAGGGCGGGGGGCAGAAGCCTGGATGGGAGTGTGCTCATCGGGACCACTGGAGGAGTGGGCTGCAGGACAGCACAGTGGAAATGCTGTTCTTTGAGTTGCCAACCCACTTTCCACAGTCAGAAGTGATTTTTCTGCTTTTGTATTGAGCGTGCAAGGAATATCTTGGGTTTTAGAGTAGTGAGACTGCTGGCAACTTTTCCTTTTGGGAACCGATCTCTGTTCAGTGACCTCTGCCTTGTGCTCCAGCGTCACAGGGTTGCCTTGGGAACCAGCATTCCTTGTTGAGAGGGACCCTTTTCCCCAATGAAGATCTGCCTTTGTCCAATGAATACCATTCTGTAGAACAATTTTCTAAGTCCCCAGCAAGGGGAGGTGAGTTTGAATAAAGAATTTCACTCCGTGTACCTGAGCTGCTTTTGTCAAAACCACTCTCCAACCTCATGTGCCAGCGGCACGCTGAAGGCACAGGGCCTCTCTGTGCTGGGGCGGGGAAGGGGGCGTGCTGCTGGCCTGTGCCTCAGGAGGCTGCAGTTGCTCACCTGGACTGGGCAAAGGGGAAACTGGCCTTACAGCCTCACCTAACTGCCTGGCTCGTGGTGCTGTCGCCTGCTTGCTGCTCCAGGAGCCCACATCACCTGCTGTCAGCAACCAGCCCAGCTTCCCGGAAAGCAAGCTAGCCCAGCACAGCTGGGGGACATGTGGTTCAATGTGCAGGCAGCTCTCAAGTGCTAAGGAAGATGGCCAGAGGGAAGGCTGTGGAGAACAGGCAACACTGGCTGGCGTCCACTCCACACCCCAAGGAAGCCTCTGCTGTCTCCAGGTACCTGTTGAACCCGTGCCTGGATCAGCCACTTGGCACTGGGGACTTGTGGTCTTCAGAGCTACCTACATGAAACCACGCGTGGCTTCTGGTTTCCCATTCTCTGATCTGCTCCCCTTTGAGGAGAGGCCCTGTGGCCCAGCGATGAGACATTTGGAAGGCTGGGGCAGGAAGACTCTTGCGGCTGCTGGGCTCCCCACGCTGGCCTGACTCACATCCCAAGAAGCCATCTCTGGGAACTCCTGCAGATTCTCGGCTTGTCTGACAAAGTGGTACCCAGCTGCAAGGCCTGGGAGGGTGAAGTCGGTCCATCACACCGTTTTCCTCCGGGGCTGGCTGAGAACCTGACACCAGCCTACCTGAATCAACCACAGATTCCCAGAAATCTCTTGCCTTGGGGAACAATCTGTTGCTCCTCTGCTGGGTGGGGCGACAGCCAGCACTGTGACCCGTCTGCTGGCTCTGCCTGCGGTGTGCTTCCTCCCACACCTGGCCCAGCCCTCCGACTTCATGGACCCTGAGCAGCTGCCTGCACACCTTGGTCGGTTCACACAGCTTCGGAAGTAGGAATTTTTTTTAAGGTTTTCTTACTTGAAAGGCAGTTTTACAGAGAGGGAGAGACAGATCTTCCATTCATTGGTCCACTCCCCAAATGGCTACAACGGCTGGAGCTGGGCCAATCCAGAGCCAGGAGCCAGGAGCTTCCTCCAGGTCTCCCACCTGGGTGGCAGGGGCCCAAGGACTTTGCCATCTTCTACTGCTTTCCCAGACACATTAGCAGAGAGCTGGATTGGAAGTGTAACAACTGGGACTCAAACCAGCTCCCACGTGGGGTGCTGGTGCTGCTGACAGTGGCTTAACCTGCTGTGCCACAGCGCCAGCCTCTTCTCACTGTTCTTGAATTGTTTTACACAGATTGTTTCATGTGGAATCCTGTGAGGCACAGGGTGTTGTTTTTTTGTTTTTTTAAGATTTATTTATTTGATTGGCAGAGAGAGAGGTCTTCCACTGGTTCACTCCCCAAGTGGCCACAATGGCTGGAGCTGAGCCAATCTGAAGCCAGGAGGTAGGAGCTTCTTCCGGGTCTCCCACACGGGTGTGGGAGTCCAAGGGCTTGGTCCATCTTCTGAATCCACCACAGTGGCGAGATAAGATTTTACTTAGAGAGGTAGAGTTACAGACAGTGAGGGAGAGGCAGAGAGAAAGGTCTTTGGTCCATTGGTTCACTCCCCAGTGGCTGCAATGGCCAGAGCTGCCAGGAGCCAGGAGCTTCTTCCCCGTCTCCCATGCAGGTGCAGGGGCCTAAGGACTTGGGCCATCTTCCACTGCTATCCCAGGCCACTTGCACCATGGTGCCAGCCCTATGCACAGGGTTTTAATCTCATTTTATAGGCAAGCAGCCAGGCTGGAAAGGTGTCACTGGGCTTTGAAGCCTCCACTTCCACAGCTTACCTGGGCCTCCTGTTTGCTGTCTTCCTGGTGACCCCTGAAGGCAGCTCATCCATCCCAAGTCAAGGCAGGCTGCCAGGGTCCTACAGCCCCACTCACTGGACCCAGCCTTGCAACCCAGCAAAGGCTGGGCTGGCTGCTCCTGGGGCTCTTTTACTTGGCCTGGTACCTTCCACCCTCCAATGGAATCCAAACTCAGGCCCCCCGCTAGATGTCCCGTGTTCATTTACCCAGTTCAGGTGCTTAGCCTAGCAAGGTTCCTTGCCACTGCCAGTGAACCTGAACCCCAGACCACGTCCTGTTAGTCACCATGAGCCTCCTGCGGCGATTCCTGTAGCAATACTGTCACTACTATAAAAATGCCTTCTGTGTGCTTAACGAGCTAAGCACTGGGCTCTCGCCTGGAATCCAGCCTGCACCGCGGCAGTTGCTGCGGGAAGGCTTCTGCAATGGCTAGTCAGACTTCCTTCAGCGCTGGTGCGGTGCTGTGGGTTAAGCCACTGCTAGAGATGCCAGCATCCCAAATTAGTGCCAGCTCAAGTACCAGCTGCTCAGCTTCTGATCTAGTTTCCTGCTAGTGCATGTGGGAAAACAGTGGAAGATGGCCTCAGTACCAAGTGCCACCACACGGGAGACCTGGATGGAGTTCCTGGTTCCTGGCTTCAGCTGGGCCCAGCCCTGGCTGTTGCAGCCATTTGGGGAGTGAACCAGCAGATGGAAGATCTTATTGCCTTTCAAAAAAAAAAAAAAATCTCAAAAACTCCCACTTCCACCCCTAGCTGCAACCCCATCAGTGAGAGCGTCTCCCAAGGGGTGGCGGGAAGGGGCTGGCTACCTCCCAGAAGGTTTCCCCCAACCTAACTCCACACTGGCTGAAGGGGCAGGGGCTGGGACTTGCTGTTTAACAACTTACTATTGCGGCAAAGTGCCTGGGACCACCCTGCCTGCACCGCTGCCCCATACTTGGACTGCAGGCACTCGGCACGCTCCCCTCACAAATGAGAATGCCAATGCGACCCCGTCAGAGTTTCGGCATTGACTGTATCTCCCACGGCTGCTGACAGACACACACAGGTAGTCTCACATCTGGGTTCAAGGGCATGGGCAGAGGCAGCAAGGCTCAAATCTCCCCCTTGTCCCTCGAGGAGCCCATTTTCCAGAGGCAGCAGAGGAGGAAACGGAGGGAGTTCCCTTTTCAGAGCTACTAGGAAGGACTTCCTGTTAAAAATCCCTACTTCTGGGGCTGGCGGGTAAAGCCGCTGCCTGTGACACCAGCATTCCGTATGGACTCCCAGCTGCTCCACTCAGATCTGATCCAGCTCCCTGAGAACAGAGCAGGTGACCCTCCTCAGCTCGCAGTCCCCTGGGAGGCGCCCAGGCTCCAGGCACGCTTTGTAGAAGGGCTGATGGAAACGCAATGCTGGACAGGAACACAGAGCACACTGCAGAAGGGGAGGCCGTGCCTGCGAGGATATGTGAGCATGGCACCTGCTGGCACCCCGATGGAATCCCTGCCTTGGCAGAGTAGCCCCAGGGCTACATAAAACAATCAGAAAAGTCAAAGATCCTTGTTTTATTATTATGTACAGATTGTATTCAATCCACACGCTCTGAAAACAGCTTCTCTGGCTTTCCCTTGAGCCCCCAGAATATAAATGAGAGCCTCTAAGAACCGCTCCTTCCAAAGGTGGTCCGTGGGCCACCTTTGGATTGCGTGGACTGTGGCAGCCACATCTGAAGCCATACACCATTCCCCGCCTTGCCTTAAGCCCCAGCTCCTGCTTCACTGGTCCAGGCGCAGGTGTACCCCAGTCACTCAACTTCCATTTTATCCTTTGGCAAAGAATCGATGAAGCTCTGCCACTCCTCTGGGTAAAAACGTTTGTAGACATTGATCTTGTTCCGAATCTGCTTCGGGGTGTCCTGATAGTAATTCTTCTCATCCCGGGCCATGGCCTGCAGAGGGAGAGAAGCAACAAGACGGGAGCTTGACAGGCCAAGGTGCAAACCCTAGCCCTGCCTGAGCTGGTCCAGCCATTTCCTTTCCCTGAGTTTCCAACTCCTCACCTCCAAAGGCATGGTCTGCGTGGTGCCCTTTTGTACCGAGGGGCGCAAGAAATGGGTCAAGATGCCCTTGGGACCAGCAGGCCTCACAGTCCAGCTGAAGAGCCTGTGCCCCATCCACAGCCAACCACTTCCACCTGAACACAGGGATCCGCCATGGCCAGATCTTTCCATGTTTAAAAGCAGCCAGAATTACGGACTCTCAGGCGAACCTTCCCATAGTTCAAGTTCTTTAATGGTACCACGTAAGCCAAATGGGTCTGTGCGTGGCACATGACTGCAGGCCATTCCATCTGTCCCTGCTGTGAGCGCGCTGGCATGTTACAGCCCTGTCACTGGACCAGCTCCTAGAGCCTCCCTTTCCCCCTTTTCCTCCCAGGCAGGCTCAGAAAACAGGGAGAGGGCAAACAGACCAGGCTCGGGTGCCTTCCCAACCAGCCGGGCCACTCACCTTGTAGTCCTCCCCATGGCTCTCCACCATGTAGCGCACGTAGTCTATGAGGTCCCGGGACAGCGTATTGCCTTTTTTTTCTGGGAGGCTGGCCTCTGCCTCCAGCTCTTGGGTGAGACAAGCCAGAGTTGGGGAATGATGCTTTGTGCTTGGTGGAGCTGTCTAATTACCCTCCACCCAGTGGCAACCGTAAGAAATGCTACACCAACCACCCAGGGGTCTCCTGCCTCCCTACTCCCAAACTCATCGCTGGAACCTTCCATGGTAGCCCCTCGGATCCTAGACTCTGTCTCTTACGAGCCAATCATCTACTTGTGTCGCAACCACCTGAAGAGAAAGTCCCTTTACTTCCACCCCCAGATGGGTTTAAAATGAAGGTGCCCAACTAATCGTCTCTACTTAGGATCAAGTCCTGGAGAGAGCTGGATGAAGACACCTGCCTGCTCCCAGGGCAGGGCCCCTGGAGAACCTCCTTTCCTTCAGTATTCTAACATGTGAAATGCAAAATATGAGAGCCGTAGGGAATGAAGCTGGACCCAGGCACCTTCTGCTTCATGTGAGAGAACCCAGGCTAGGCAGCCAAAAGTGGTTTCCTTTTTTTAAAGATTTATTTGGGGGCAGACACTGTGTAGGTTAAATCACTGTCTGCAGTGCTGGCATCCCATATGGGCATAGGTTAGAGTCCTGGCTGCTCCATTTCCAATCCAGGTCCCTGCTAATGCACCTGGGAAAGCAGCAGAAGATGGCCCAAGTGCTTGGGCCCCTGCACTCATGAGGAAGTCCTGAGGAAGCTCCTGGCTCCTGATTGGCTCAGCTCCAGCCATTGCAGCCATTTGGGGAGTGAACCAGCGGGTGGAAAATCTCTCTCTGCCTGTCTCTAACTCTGCCTTTCAAATAAACAAATAAATCTTTTTTTTTTTTGAGTGAATAAATAAAATCATTAAGATAAGTACAGGCATTTGGCACAGCAGTTAAGCACATACCGTATCAGACTTCCCGGTTTGAGTCCTGGCTACTCCACTTCCAATCAAGTTCCTGCTACTGTGTCTCCTAGCAGGCATCAAAAGATGGCTCAAGTAGTTGAATCCCTGCCACCTGCATGGGAGACTCAGCTGGAGTTCCAGGTTCCAGGCTTCAGAGTGGCACGGTCTTGACTGGTGTGCGCATTTGAGGAGTTAACCAACAGAAGGAAGCTCTCTTGCCATCTATCTGTCTCTCTGCCTTTCAAATTAAAACAAAAAGAAAAAAGTTTTAAATTTTAGTGGTTAAGATGGCAAATTTTACGTACCTTTTTTAACCACATTTCTCTTTGACTACAGTAAGTACACATGGTTTTGTGTTTTTTTGTTTTGTTTTGTTTTGGACAGGCAGAGTGGACAGTGAGAGAGAGAGAGAGAGAGAGAAAGACCTTCCTTTGCCGTTAGTTCACCCTCCAATGGCCGCCGTGGCCGGCGCACCACGCTGATCCGAAGGCAGGAGCCAGGTGCTTCTCCTGGTCTCCCATGCGGGTGCAGGGCCCAAGCACTTAGGCCATCCTCCACTGCACTCCCTGGCCACAGCAGAGAGCTGGCCTGGAAGAGGGGCAACCGGGACAGAATCCAGCACCCCAACCGGGACTAGAACCCAGTGTGCCGGCGCCGCAAGGCGGAGGATTAGCCTATTGAGCCACGGCGCCGGCCCAGTACACATGGTTTTGTATATACGATCCTGTACAGTAATTCTTACAAGAACCGTGGACATCAACTAAAGACAGAAACTGAACGGACTCTGTATCAAATGTCTGGCTATTCAAATTCCTTCACCAACAAGTAAGGGGAAGGACGGATGAAAACTTCCAGAGTATTCCTGCTCTGCTGAGGGTCTGCTCTCCTCACTCTCTCTCTGAAGCCTCACCCCCAAACTTTCAGTTCTTTGAGTAGTTCAACTATATATTTATTTCAAAGTTTTACCGTAAATGGTATATTTATTGCTGAATTCAAGTCTTATGGGAGTCCTATGTCAGACACAATTACACAATTGGTTAATACACATGAAACTGATCTGTCACTGGAAACACTAAACGAAGTGGTCTTTATTTATTTATTTATTTATTTATTTTTTTTTTTTGGACAGGCAGAGTGGACAGTGAGAGAGAGAGACAGAGAGAAAGGACTTCCTTTACCGTTGGTTCACCCTCCAATGGCTGCTGCAGCCAGGAGCCAGGTGCTTCTCCTGGTCTCCATTGTGGGTGCAGGGCCCAAGGACCTGGGCCATCCTCCACTGCACTCCCAGGCCACAGCAGAGAGCTGGACTGGAAAAGGAGCAACTGGAACTAGAACCCGGGGTGCCGACGCCACAGGTGGAGGATTAGCCTATTGAGCCATGGTGCCGGCTGAAATGGTCTTACCTAAAAATCATTTCATTCTTGAACAGAACCCACGTCTAAGGCTTAATGTTTTCTCTTTATCCACTCAGGCTCCTGGCGACATCCTCTCTAAACACCTCTGAGCTTAGGTCACACCCTCGAGTTTAGTCAGTACACTGAAAATGTCCCAGCCAAGAAGAGTTTTTGGATTTGTTTTGTTTGGCTAAGATTTATTTGCTATTTGAAAGGTAGAACAGAGAGGGCTCCATCTACTGGTTCATTCACCAAATGGCCAAAACAGCCAGGATTGGATCTAGCCAAAGCCAGCAGCCAGGAACTCCATTTGGGTCTCCCACGTGGATGATAGGGGCCCAAGCACTTGGGCCATCCTCTGCTGCCTTCCCAGGCGCATTAACAGGGAGCTGGATCAGAAGCGGAGCAGCCAGCACTTGCCCTGGCACTGAAACGGGATGCAGGCATTGTAAGCCTTAGCTGAACTGCCACACCGCAACACCAGCTCCAAGGACACAGTTCTCACTCTGTGAGCCCTGGGCCAGCTTGCTTCTCCCCTATGAATCTGGGTTTCCCCATCTGTAAATCGAGGACACCTGCAGCTCCAACAGTGCAGGACGCTGACCTGGAGGAAAATGGACCACACCTACCATTTAGCACATAGGGCTTCCGCACAAGCTCCTTGGGCCTCGCCTCTGTGTCCACCTCCATGCCCTTCACCTGCAGAGAACACAGCGTGTGAGACCAGAAGACAAAAAGTTCTAGAAGCTCCTGTCCATCCCATCACAACTACATTACCCATAAGAAACCCTGCCCAGGTCAGGCAGAACTAGGCTTCCACTGGACACATTCACAGGGCCTGCAGTGTGGTGCAGCAGGTTAAGCCTCTTGGCTGCAACACCAGCATAACATACGGAAACCGATCCCAGTCCTGGCTGCTCTGCTTCCAGTCCAGTCCCCTGCGAATGCACCTGAGAAAGCAGCAGAAGAGGTCCAAGTGCTTAGGCCCCTGCACCACGTAGGAGACCCAGATGGAGTCCTGCGCTTCTGACTTCAGCCTGGCCCAACCCTGGCAGTCATATCCATTCAGGGAGTGAACCAGCAGGTGGAAGACCTCTCTCTCTCTCTCTCTCTAACTCTGCCTCTCAAATAAATAAATCAATCTTTAAAAAAAGTTCATTCAGCAAGCCCATTCATGAGAGTAACTATTTATCGAGTATTGTCACATCCTAAGCACTCGGGATTTAGCAGAAAAAAAAAAATCAACAAACTTCTTGTGACTAAGATTATGTTAGAGGGGTAATAAACAGATAAGCAAACATCCCACGATACAGCATCACGGACTTAACAAATGCTGTGAAACAGAGCTGGGAGAGGTTTCTAAGTGAAGAAGGGTACTGTTTTTGAAAGTTTGAAAGGGTGGCCAGAGAAAGAGCGCTCAGGAGAAACTAGCGCGAGGCAAGCCTCATGGCAAAACGACCAAGTAAAGGTCCTACGCTCTAAAGAGTCCTTACCAGAAAAATTAAGGCTAAGAAAAAAAAGGCAAACTTTGGAAGGTACCACTGGGCTGCCAAGGAACTCGAACAGCCAGGCTCGTTTCAGACGGAAAAGACAGTGCAGGAGAAAGGGGGGACTCCAGCCCAGGTCCCAGTGCTGTGCTGCCAGGGAGATGGCGAAGCCCCTCGACCACCGTCAGCGCCGGCGGAGGGGTCCCCACCCCGGGAAGCGCGCGGGAACCCCGCGGGTCAGTACCTTTCTCTTGCGGAAGGGCACCGCCTTGTTGGGGTCCATGGCCAGCCCCATCTCAGCCAGGTTCTGCCGCACCGACTTGGCGTGGTCCCAGGCATGTCGGATGTGGGAGCTACCGGCAGAGAGAAAGAGAGAGACGTCGCGGGCCGTCCCGGGCGAGCTAGTCCTGCCTCCCGAACCCCGGTCCCTCACCACTCGATCCGCGGCGCTGCCTTCCGCCGAGCATTCCGGTTCAGCCGCTTTCGGTTAACGTTGTAACCGAACTTCTGCCTCCGGGTCTTGCCTTTGGCCTTGGGCATGGTGCCGATCACCCCAGCGAAGCTCACAACCCGCGCCTCTAGCTCTCAGAACCGCGTGTTAACAGACTCCTTCCGGCGGCTGCGCGCAGGGCCCTGCAGGCTTTCTGGGAAACGTAGTCTCTCCGCGGCACGACCCCGGAAGTTACCACGACTCCCAGAATGCAACGAGCGCGGGCGTCGCGTACAGCGCCCGCTGTGTCCCGCCCCCTCTAGTGACGTCATCAGCAGGTGGAGCTCGGCGTCCGGATTTTCTCCTACCTCTTAGCCCAGACATGGCAACGCCTGACCCTGTGACTCCGGAGGCACCCTTTGAACCGTCACATCCTCCTGTCATTGAGGGTTTTAGTCCCAGTGTCTACAGGAATCCAGAAGGCTTCAAGGAAAAGTTCCTTCGCAAGACCCGTGAGAATCCATTGGTCCCCATAGGTAAGTGGGGACCTGGGAACTGTACCTGGAGGGGACAGTGAGGTCGGGGGGAGGAAATAGCGCAGAACCAAGGACGCCCTGGGGGACCGGAATGAGGGTTGGACCGGCGGGGCGGAGAAGGGGCGGGGCGGTGAGGGGCCAGGGCGGTGACTGGTGAAAACTGATTAGGACGTGAGCGGAGGCGGGACTTAGGGGCAGGAGTGGGCGGGGCAGGAGAGGCTCCAACCTCGACCAGCCCCGCCCCCTTTCCTGGCCTCTGGGAAGGGAGGCCTGAGACTGGGAGGTACCTGCAGGGCCTGACCCACTGCTCCCCTGCTGTTTTGTCCCGTCCGCAGGCTGCCTGGGCACGGCGGCCGCCCTCACCTACGGCCTCTACTGCTTCCACCGGGGCCAGAGCCAGCGCTCGCAGCTTATGATGCGCACCAGGATCGCCGCCCAGGGCTTCACGGTCGCAGCCATCTTACTAGGTCTGGCTGCATCCGCTCTGAAGTCTCGGTCTTGAGCCCTCGGCCTGGCCTGGGAAGCTCCGCGGAGATCATTCCACAGCTCAGAAGCCACCATCAGCCCTGCTGCCGGCCTTCCTCCCTCCTCTGCCCCGTCAGGCCCCAGTGTCCTTGGGGGAGGATGCGGCCCATTGTGCAACCGACAGCTTGATTTCAGAAATCCCAATTTCGGCTCAGCTCGGCCGGTGCCTCCTAATTGTGCCACACCCTTTTACTCCCTAGTCAATAAACTGTAATCCACTTGTTTGGTAAATTCATTCTCACCTCGACGGTTTGGTGTCTTTGACTTGAGGAGCAAACAGATTTTAGACTGGAGTGACCCCCAGAAATCAAGTAGTGTAGTAATTCCCCAACTTCCCTGGGCCACTTAGTAAAAGTGGATTCTCTGGGCAGTGTTGTGGTGTAGCCGGTTAACCTGCCACCTGATGCCAGCATCCCATATGGGTGCCGGTTCAAGTCCCAGCTGCTCCATTTCTGATCCAGCTCCCTGCTAATGTGCCTGGGAGATGGCCCTGCACCCATGGAGGAGACCCAGATGATGCTCCAGGCTGCAGGTTTGGGCCTGGCCAAGCCTGGATGTTGTGGCCATTTGGAGAGTAAGCCAGCACATGGAAGTCTCTTTCTCTCTCTCTCTCTCTCTAACTCTGTCTTTCAAAGAAATAAATACGTCTATATATAAAAAATAGATTCTCAGGTTCCCCTCCTTGAGATTCTAGTCCAGTAGGCCTAGAGTAGCAGTATCTGGGGGAAAAAGAAAGCTGCCACTGGGAAACCCCCTTCAGATGAGGCCAGCAAGGTCCTGTGGGGGCAGGGGGTTCTGCCCTCCTCTCTGCATCTGCCCCTCCCCCCCCCCCTCCTGACACCCCCTAGGGTTGCTCTGATCCAGACCCTCCTGGCTCCTGTCTCATGACAGAGGCAGCCTGCTCTGGTGGGAAGAGCGTGGCCCCAGACTCCCCAGTGGTCTGTGTGCCCGGGAGAGGAGACGGGGATCTGAGCAAACTCAGGAAGAAAGGTGACCGGGAGTCTCAGACAGGTGTTCCTGGCCAGTGGCCAGCCCTTCTCAAGTGCTGACCCAGGGACCGAGGCTCCTCCCACCTGTGACTGCTCCACATGCCACACCAGCTGGAAGCTGCCACAAGGGAAAAAGAGTGTAAAGAAGACGAATCCCTCCTTCAGACTCCCCCCTCCCCGCTGAGCCTAGGTTTCTTTTTTCTTTTTTTTTTTTTTTTGACAGAGTGGACATAGAGAGACAGAGAGAAAGGTCTTCCTTTGCCATTGGTTCACCCTCCAATGGCCACCGCGGCCGGGTGTGCTGCAGTCAGCGCACTGAGCGCACCACGCTGATCCGAAGGCAGGAGCCAGGTGCTTCTCCTGGTCTCCCATGCATTTGGATGGCCCAAGCACTTGGGCCATCCTCCACTGCACTCCCTGTTCACAGCAGAGAGCTGGCCTGGAAGAGGGGCAACCAGGACAGAATCCGGCACCCCGACCAGGACTAGAACCCGGAGTGCCGGCACCGCAAGGCGGAGGATTAGCCTATTGAGCTGCAGCGCTGGCCCAAGCCTAGGTTTCTGCATAGCGGGCTGGGTGACCCATGCCCACACCGTGGTCTCTGAGCAGAGAGATTATAATCGTAAAGCAGTGCATTGTGGCGCTCAGCCTCAAGGTGCTAGGAAAGGACTTGGAGCGCTGAGGACTGTGGCACTTGGAAAGAGTATGAGCGTGTCCCTGTGTCCCCCCAAACATGTATTGAAGGCCCCAGCTCCACCCAGCTCTTTAGCATGTGACCTTGTTTGGAAATAGAGACCTCACAGGGGTAAGTAAAATGAGGCCACCAGGGCAGTCCCTATCCCATACAACTGATGTCCTTAGATAAGGACACTTTGGGGGCCGGCGCCGTGGCTCACTTGCTTAATCCTCCGCCTGTGGCGCCAGCATCCCCTATGGGCACCGGGTTCTAGTCCTGGTTGCTCCTCTTTCAGTCCAGCTCTCTGCTGTGGCCCGGGAAGGCAGTGGAAGATGGCCCAAGTGCTTGGGCTCCTGCACCCACATGGGAGACCAGGAAAAGGCACCTGGCTCCTGGCTTTGGATCGGTGCAGCACTGGCCATAGCAGCCATTTGGGGAGTGAACCAACGGAAGGAAGACCTTTCTGTCTCTGTCTGTAACTCTACCTGTCAAATAAATAAAAAAAAAATTTTTAAAGGACACTTTGGACTCGACAGACGCACGTACGAGGGAGATGCTGGGGAGGTGGGCCTGTGCAGGCGGAGGCCGGACAGGGGAGATTCACACACGCATCCGCAGCCGTGGACCGCCCGGGGCTACGGGACAGCTGGGAGAGAGCCTGGAGTAGGCCATTCTGCAGAACCTTCCCAGGAAGCCTGGCTCTGCCAACACCTTGGTGGCAAAACTTTAGCCTCCAGGGCCAAGGAGACAGTAGATCTCTGCTGTGCAAGCCAGCCAGTGTGTGGTGCTTTGCTACACAGCACTGAAATGAATATTGTTAGCATCATTCAAGTCTTTTTAAACACTGGGCGAGTTGCCTGGGTGGCTTGAACGCTCTGTTTGCAACCTTCGCTGAAGAGGAAGGTCTGGTCATTGCTCGTGGATCCCAAATCCATGGCCGAAGGGCCTCCACCTCCAGGGGGCCCCCTGAGGGGGTGAGGTCTGGCCGAGGCTTCCCAGAGAAAGACACCACCAGGAAGCACTGGCCACCACAGGCCACCTCCCCTCGGGAGCTTGGCTGTCCTTGACCGTGTGGTGAGAATAACAGAATCCCAACCCCGCAGGCCTCTGAACACACCAGCAAGGCTCAGGCTGCCCGGTGTTCCGGGTGCTCTTGGCTGCTGGGGATGTGGGTCCCAGCTTCTGCCTGGGTGCTCCTGGCTTTCCAGGACACCCTCGCCTCCCAAGGCTATGACCTTGGGCAAGTGCTAAGCACAAACCGAGCCCTGACACCAGCTGTCACTTCCAGAGAAATGAGGGTGATAATAAATAAGTGTAAAAAAGAGTTAACAACACACCCTTTAAGCCAAGAAAAAAAAAATACATCAGGAGGGACAGTCACAACGGAGCAGACTGAGGTGTGAGGGGCTGGGCTGGGGGGCTGGGGAGGAGAGGGGGCTGGGGAGGTGAGGGGCCCTCGTCCCAGCCCCCGCAGAGGGGGAGGAGCGGGCCAGGCTGTGCAGCAGCTGGAGGACAGCCCCTCCCTGGCCAGAGCCGCCGCTGCGCCTCTGCCCGCGCCCAGCCCAGGCCGCGCGGCTCTGCTTATGGCAGGCGCCTAGCGGGAAAGCGGCGTCTGCTTCAAGGACATGAGCACCGAGCGCAGGCGGGACACGTCTTTGCACTGCTTGCTGCTCTTGGGGTTGAAGTCACACAGCTGAGCCACCTTCTCCCACTCCGTGCCTGGAGTCTCCTCCTTGGATTCCTTCACGAAGGCCTCCTCAGACGCCCTGCGGGTGGAGATAGGTCAGAGGGTTCATCGCCGGCTGCTCTTCCCCTAGCCAAGCATACTCTGCTCCAGCTGCACAAGGCTGCTTTTCCTGGCCTACTCTGGGCCACTTTGTCCCGATGTCCCCTCCCCAGCACCGTGCCCTGCAACACCAGCCTCCCAGGAACAGCCTTGGCCCAAGAGGAGGCCTAGTGTGGTCCTGCCTCAGGACCTTTGCACCTGCTGTCACCGCTTCCTGGAGTGTTCCTCCCTCATACCTGCTTATGACTTGCTATTTCTTGCGACTCAGTTCCCAGTGCAGGCCTCCCTTCCTTAGAAAGCTCTCCCCTGCCCAAACACTCTCTGTGCATTGCCCCAGGATAAGGAGTTCCCAGCCTGCGACACCAGACACCTAAAGGCCCTTGGAGGAGCAAATGTAGTGCCTCAGCTATTTTCCACAGAGGCAGGACATCAACCAAGCACCTAACGGAAGCACCCGGTTCAGCACTGCCTGCATGTTCTGATATCCTCCAGAAAAGGAGCGTGGCCAGGTACACGTGGAAAACTCGGAGCAAGACGATCTTTATAGCAAGTCTGGCAAAGCCCTGAGTGTGCCCGTGTGCACTGTGGACCTCCAAAGTGAAGCGAGTGGTGGGGACAGCGTCCGTATCCACGTCTCTCTGGCTGCACAGCCTCCTTCCGCCAGCCTGGGCAGCCTGGGCGGTGTGCCGCTGGAGTCTCTGCTCTCGGTAGGACTCAGGATAAAAACCAATAGCCTCTTCACCGGAAGTTGTGGTTAAGGGACAGTGAGGACACGGTTAAGTGGACAGAATCTAAACACAGGAGTCATTAAGAAAAAGAAAGGGGTCTCGGGTGGGGAAAGTTGGATCCGCATCTTGTTTGGCAGCTAGGGTTCCAGGAAAGCCCCTTTCTCCTGGGAGTTGCCCCAGGCATGGGAAGCAAAACCACAGGGCATGGCTGATGGCAGGATGCTCTCCAGGTGGTCCCGCGGGCTGTGCGGGAAGGGGCTGGCCCCAAACCAGACCAGGCCAGCCCCTAGCGTGTGAAATGCAGGTTCCCAGCCTTGCCCTGCACAGCTGGTTCCTGCCCTGAGAACCGCGCCAGGCAGCAGGTGTGTGCTATACAGAGGGCGCAGGGTGACTGCTGGTGGGGGAAGCTGCCCCAGGAGCCACCCCTACAGCATCAAGAGGCTTCCTTCTACCTCGGCGCCCCACGGTCCTGCCGTGTCACCCTCACCATGGAGCCTGCAAATGCAGAGCCCTGGGCCTCGCCTCAGTGCCCCCAATCAGAAGCTGCAGCTGCATCTGATCCTGCAGTCATCCAGGGGTGGTGGGAAGCAGGGGGGCGGGGAGCCCCGCTCCAGACTCCCCCGCTTGGATGCTCCCTGGGCTGCTAAGCAGGAGCACCCCTGTGCAGGTCCCCTGGCCCCTGCTGGAACCTCCCATGGCTCCCCACTGCCTTCAGGATCAATCCCGGCTCAGCCTTGCACAGCGGGCACTTTGCAGCTAGCCGCCTCTCAGGCAGCCCCACCCCGCACAGCGCTCCCCCACTGCGGGGCCAGGTGGCTCCCCTCTGCGCCCTCGCCCCGGCTGATTCTCCCACCCAGACGCTCTTCTCCTCCTTCCACCCTCCCCACCCAGCAACTTGGGCTCAGCTGCAGCTCCAGCCCTGTCCCCGCCCCGGCTGCCCCAGCAGTGCTCTGGGCCTCCTCCCACGCTCTCTTAGAACAGATCCAGACCAGCAGCAAGGGGAGGGGGACGGGCTGTGTGCTCCTTATTCCTGTTGGACCTGACACAGGCCTGGTAAGTGCCAGGCAGCTGGCACAGCGGGTAGAAGGAAGGCGCCTGCTGTGCTCTGTGCTCTGGGAGAGAAGCCTTAGCCAGGACAGCACCAGGGCCTGCCAAGGGTACCCCCGATAAAAACAACCCCCCCACCCCAGCACCCTTCAGCCCCACGGGGCCCCCTCCCCTGCCCTGCAAGGGCTCTGGAGGCAGGGTGGTGCCTGCGTCCGCTCTGCCCTGGGCTTGCCCCAGGGCCAGCCCCCGCTCATTTATACCCTACAAGCTGGGGCTCCAGAAACCGTGCCAGCCACCGGCCAGCAGCCAAGCAGCTGAGGAGGCACATACACGTAGCCGATGACGTCAGCATCCGGCTGCTGGTAGAATGCTTTGTCGGCGATCCTTCAGGGCGAGGTTAGGGGTTAGGTCAGGGAGAAGGGTGGCAAGACAGACAAGGTAGGCAGCCAGGCAGGCAGAGGGTTAAAGAGAAAGAGAGACAGCGTTAGTACCTCTGGCAGGAGAGGTGTCGGGAAGGCTCGGCCCCACCCGGCAGAGGGGCAATCTTCTGTCCTGGCCACGGTGCCGCTTCCAAAACTGGGCCCTGAACCTGTTACTTGTCCTGCCAGGCTCCCTGTGGGACCTGGTCAGCCAAGGCCCGCCCAACGTCCCAGGCGGCGCCTGGATCTAGAATGCCTTCCCATAACCCCTGCTTCCTTTTTCCCCAGAACTCCTAGTCATCCTCCAAAGCCCAAGGCCCCAGGCCCTGAGGTTCCGCACCCAGCGCTTCTCGCTTCCTTTGCTTCCATGGCCACCACACTGAGGGCCCTGCAAGGTCGGCAGTGCATGCCTCTCTCTCTCCTCTCAGCTTTCCGAGGACACACAGGGCCTCCTGTGTGTGCACCCAGCTCCATACCTGCCATGGGCAGTTTCTTGAACAGAGTGTGGCAGCTCCCCACGTGGTGTTGCCCTTCCTGAGAGAGCCTGCAGCTGGAGGGGCCCAGCCCGCGGGCATCTCGGGGTGTTGGCTGGTGCAGCCCTGCCGCTTCACCTGCGGGCATGCACCCCCTTCCTTAAGAATGGCACCTGTTGTCCTCGGCAGCCTCAGGCTGCCCCCACTTCAGTCCCTAAGGTTTGGGTGGCACAGACGCCCATACCTCAACCAAGGAATATGACCATCACCCCCGAGGGGGGCCCAGTGGAGCGCCCCTCGTCCTGGCAAGTCACTGGGCCTGCCGTGGGTCAGGGACAGGGGCAAGGACTTCGGCAGGAGCCATCTGAAGCCAGATGCAGCATTCAGGGGGCTTCCGAGAGCACAGCACAGAAGCCTGGAGCTGCTGGTGGCCATCTCTGCCCCCCCACCCCCGCCAGCAGCGTGTGCCCAAGACTGAAGCCCACACAGAGGGAGGCAGACTGAGGGCCAGAAACAGTGGGCGCCTATTGCATCTGAGCCCCTCGTGTCCCTGTGGCCCCTGTCGTGTCCCCACAGCCCCTCGTGTCCCCACAGCCCCTCATGTCCCCACAGCCCCTCGCGTCCCTGCAGCCCCTCGCGTCCCCACAGCCCCTCATGTTCCCACAGCCCCTCATGTCCCCACAGCCCCTCATGTCCCCACAGCCCCCTCGCGTCCCTGCAGCCCCTGTCGTGTCCCCACAGCCCCCTTGCGTCCCTGTGGCCCCCGTCATGTCCCCACAGCCCCCTCGTGTCCCTGCAGCCCCCGTCATGTCCCCATAGCCCCTCACGTCCCTGTGGCCCCCGTCATGTCCCCACAGCCCCTCGCGTCCCTGTGGCCCCTGTAATGTCCCCACAGCCCCTCACGTCCCTGTGGCCCCTGTCATGTCCCCACAGCCCCTCGTGTCCCTGCAGCCCCCGTCATGTCCCCACAGCCCCTCGTGTCCCTGTGGCCCCCGTCATGTCCCCACAGCCCCTTGTGTCCCTGTGGCCCCCGTCGTGTCCCCACAGCCCCCTCATGTCCCTGCAGCCCCCGTCATGTCCCCACAGCCCCTCGCGTCCCTGTGGCCCCAGTCATGTCCCCACAGCGCCCTTGCGTCCCTGGGCCCCTGTCATGTCCCCACAGGCTCTCACCGGTTGTTGATCTTGTTCTTCTCAACCTGTTCGCTTTGGCGCTGGTTCCACTCCTCCAGGTCCTTCTTGGCCTTCTCCCGCCACTCCTGTTCGGTCACCTTAGAGGCGGCATCTAGGACCCCACAGGAGAATGAGTGGCAGCTCTTCCGGTGGGATGCCAGGGCACAGCTGCCCCTCCCTGCAGCCCCAGGACCCCCGCCCTCCGCCAGCTCCCACACGGAGACACCACCGGGTCCTATACACCCTTTGCTTCCCTAGTCCGCCCATGCCGCATCCCAGCCCAGCCCCAGGCTCGGCCCGGTCCTCACCCAGCTCTTGCAGCCGTTTCTTCTGCTCCTCCCTCCATCTGCGGATGCTCTCGGGCTCCTGAGTCAGCCTGTCAGCCTGGGCGATGGCAGCGTAGCCGTCGGCAGGCCCATTAGCCTCCTAGGACACAGACACATGGCTGTGCAGGGACCTGCACACCTGCCCACTATCTCTGCTTGCCCTGCTGGGGAACCCGAGCATCAGAGTGCTTCTCACATCTGGACAGCCAGACAGCCTCAAACCCCTCGTACCCACCGTCCCCTGCCTTTGCACTTGCTGTTCCCTGCCGGCGCCACTCCTACTGCTGGGCGACCCTGGGTAAGCTACTCAACCTCTCTGTGCCTGACATTTGTGCCCAGTCGGCCACGTTCATTCACACCCCACAAGCAGGAGACTCAGGAAACCACGCGGCAGCCACCTTCTTCGACATGCAATGGGCTAAGCAATCGCCCCACCCAGAGAGTATGACACTGGTTAGAATGTCCGCGTGCCATTTGGGGGCGCCTGGGTGTCATGCCCAGCTCCACAGCTCCTGACTCTGGCTTCCGGCTAATGTGGTCCCTGGGAGGCAGTGGTGATGCCGCAAATCATGGCATTCCTACCACTCATGAGGGAGAGCTGGGTTGTGTTCTGGCTCCTACTTCAGCCCAGCCTGGTCCTGGCCATGGAGAGTGAAGCAGTGGATGGGAAATCTGTCTGTTTCTCTCTTTCACTCTGTCTTTCTTTAAAAAAAAAATATTTATTTAGGGGCCAGCGCTGTGGGGTAGCGGGTAAAGCTACCACCTGCAGTGCCGGCATCTCATATGGGCGCCGGTTCAAGACTCGGCTGCTCCACTTCTTTTTTTTTTTTTTTTTTAAAGATTTATTTATTTATTTGAAAGTCAGAGTTACACAGAGAGAGAAGGAGAGGCAGAGAGAGAGAGAGGGGTCTTCCATCTGCTGGTTCACTCCCCAGTTTGCCGCAACGGCCAGAAATTCACCAATCCGGAGCCAGGAGCTTCTTCCCAGTCTCCCACGTGGGTGCAGGGGCCCAAGTACCTGGGCCATCTTCTGCTGCTTTCCCAGGCCATAGCAGAGAGGTGCATTGGAAGAGGAGCAGCTGGGTCTTGAACCAGTGCCCATATGGAATGCTGGCGCTTCAGGCCAGGGTGTTAACCTGCTGTGCCACAGCGCCAGCCCCCAAGACTCAGCTGCTCCACTTCTGATCCAGCTCCCTGCTGTGGCCTGAGAGGGCAGTGGAGGATAGTCCACGTCCTTGGGCCTCTGCATCCACATGGGAGACCCAGAAGAAGCTCCTGGCTTCTGGCTTCGGATCGGCACAGCTCCAGCCATTGCAGTCAATTGGGGAGTGAAGCATCTCCCTCTCTCTCTCTGCCTCACCTCTCTCTGTAACTCTGACTTTCAAATAAATAAATCTTAAAAAAAAAAAAAAAAAAAAGGAAGTGGCAGAGAGGCTGGTGTTGTGGTACAACGGGTTAAAACCATTGCCTGCAGCACCGCATCCCATATGGGTGCCGGTTTGATCCCTGGCTGCTCCACTTCTGATCCTGTTCCCTGCTGATGGCACCTGGGAGAGAAGCAGAGGATGATCCAAGTGCTTGGGTCCCTGCACCCACGTGGCAGACTCAGAAGAAGCTTCTAGCTCCTGCCCAGTCCTGGCTGTTGTGGCCATTTGGGGAGTGAATCAGCCGATGGAAGACCTCTCTGTGTGTCTCTCCCTCTCTCTCTGTAACTCTGCCTTTCAAATAAATAAATAAATCTTTAAAAAATAAAATGGCAGAACCAGGGCCCGAGCCCAGGCCTCCAACTCCCAGCCTGGGGTCTGCCCATTTCTCCCCACTGCCTTCCAGAGAGGGGGACTCCAAGCTCAGCCCAGCAAGGATGGGGCGCCCCTCCACCCCCCGATCTGGCATTCCTTTCTGAAGCATGGAGCCCTGGGTCCTGCCACACCCACTGGGGCGCCAGACAATGGGCATTCCTGTCTGCATGCAGCCCACACACTGGCAGCCCGCAGTGCCCAGGGCCTGCTGGCACGATCAGTTTGTGCCCATCTCTCTGCCCTTCTCTGCCCGCTGAACTCACTCTGGGCTAGTTCCCAGCCCCCAGGCATGTGCCCGGCCCCCTCCTCTCCACACGCCCTGCCTTTCCTACCTTCTACTGGAGTTTTCCTGGCTGGATCAGGGGCTCTCAGGGGGCACTATTTGCACCCGAACCCTTGTCCTGTGCTTTCGTGGCACCCTGCCCCCAATCCTCCTCCTTCAGGCACTTAGCAAAACTGCCCTGGTTGCCCATGTTGTTGGTCGTCTTGTCTCTGCACATGGGACAAGGTCTGGCATGGCCTCTGTCTTCAGCACACTGAATCCGTGAGGACCCGCAGAGCCAGCTTGGTGCTGGCTCCCAGGAGGAAGTGTTTGCCCAAGGCGTGTGCCCAGGACGAAGGGGCACAGGGAACATTGGCCTCCGTCTCTGATGTCTGGGGATCGAGGGAAGGGCGAGCTCGGGCAGGGAGTCTCTGATTAGGCCCAGCCCAGGGGTGGGGCACCTGGGATACTACCTGACTCCCACACAAAGCAGAATGACCCCTCTCCCACAACTTCCAGTGAGTGGGCAATTGCCAGGGCCATAGGAGGAGAACGCAGGTGGGTGGCTGATTACTCCCTTACCCTCGCTAGAAACAGCCCCAGTCTGCTGAGCCCCGGCTCCTGGGGCCTCCCCCTGCCCCGGCCCTGCCCAGTCATGCATGAGTAACCTTCCCTCTGCAGACGTGCCCAGTGGCTGCGTGCGTGGCTTTGTCCCAATGCTCCCTTCAATCCCCTGCTCAGCCCTGTAGCTGTGTGGACTATCCATCCCGCTCCAAGAAAGCTACCCCCATGAGGTCACAAAAGTATGAAACAAAGGAAGCAATCAAATAGAGGCATCCACCTGACTTCCAGCCGATCGATCGCTGGAAGCAAACAGGCTGAAGGGGCGCTCCCCATCCCCGCCCTGGCCCGAGTGCGAGTCTAACAGGCATCTCCGCCTTCATATGAGTTTCCATTCCCCAGACTCGCTCCTCTCCTCTTTCCCCCATCTTGGTAAAAGGCACTGTAATCCATTCCCTGCCTGAGGCCCAAGCCTCACGCTTGCCCTCCGAGATCTCCCCTTCCTTCCCAGCTCGCACCCCACCGATCAGCAATGGCTCAGATATGAGGCTGCCATGATAGAATCACTTCCTGTCTTCTGCCCCTGCTGCCTCCGCCCAGCAGCCACCCTGCAGACCCAGCCACTGTGCCTCCCTCTCCACACAACGCCACCGTGACCTGTTCAAAGCCCACACCAGATGATACCACAAGTTCAAGAGTGTCCACAGGCCTTTCCCTGCGGCCAGCGGGCAGCCCAAGGGCTACAGCCTCTCCAGCAGGCTGGTGCCGCAGCAAGCTCAGCATGTGCCCGCCCAGGGTCTCTGTCTGAACTTCCTGCCCACAGATTCCAGGACCTACATTTTGCAAGGGCTCCCCCTGTCTCTTCAGGCTTCAGCCCTGAGATTTTCTCTAAGCCCCCTGCTCCCAGGCCTGCTGACCTCCCCCCACCGCCCCGGCCCTGGCTGCAGCAGCCTCACCTCCCCGTAACCACTTGTCTAGCAATTGCCCTGCAGCCAGCCCAGGGTCTCCATGCATCTGCAGAGTCAGCCAACCACGGGTGGCGCCCTGTAGGTGGACCCACCAAGGATTGCATCCATCCTGGATGCAGGCTTGTAGTTCTTGTCGCTATTTCTTAAAAAAAAAAAAAAAAAAACCATACACAGTGTAGCGACTCTTTCTATAGCGTTTACACTGGATTAGGAGAGAGGATTTAAAGTAGAGGAGAGGTGTGCCTAGGTTCCAGGCAAATCCAGTGCCATTTGACGTAGAGGACTTGGGCATCCTCTGATTTCATTATCTGCAGGTTTCTGGAACCCATGCCCCACAGATACCACAAGGATGACTGTGTTTTACTCCCTTAGCGCTCTGCGAAATGACTTGTCAGCTTATTGCCTGCCTTGCCCTGCCCCTAAGTAAGCAAGCTCCAGGGCAACAGCAGCCTGCAGGCTCCACACAGGCTCTGGACAGGGAGGGCCCGGGGCAGGATTCAGGAATGCTTCCTGAATGATGTCACAGATGGCAGGTTTGGGGACAAGGATGAACAGGACAGCCTATCTCCTGGGAGCGGGACAGGGGAGCGGGGTGGGGCAGGGGAGCTGGTGGCTCCAGAGACAGCGCGTGGGTTAGTGCCGCTGCTGCACACTAAGCCTATAGATGCTCCATGGCTAGGGCGGGGGCACTGAAGAAGGGGTCACTTCCCAGGGTGCCCTTCAGGGCTCACCGTCTCCATAAAGCCTGCCCTAAAATTATGACTCCAGAGAACTTGCACGCAAACGATTGGCTCTGATCTTTACAGCTCCACGTGGCCGGTTTTATTAGCCTCCTTTTACAGGTAGTGGAACCCTAAACTCCAAAGTGCTAAGGTCACCCAGCTGGGAAGTGGCAGAACCCAGATTTCAAACTCGGTGTGAACGTCCTTGTCCCAGAGGAAGTAGCTCAAGGGGGACCAGTCACATCTGCATCCCAGGATTAGGGGGGCTTCCTCTCTGTGCCCCTGATGAGTCTGCCTTCCCAGGGGTGGAGACTGTGTCTCCACACACAGGCTTCCCCTCCACTCACACGGTGGCTGGGTCAAGAGTTTTAAGAAGCTGGGTCTAAGATTTCTACAAAGCCCTGTTCTCAACAGCCCGGTGGGGGCAGCAGGCGGAGCCTCCAATCCCATTTCTCCAGATGAGAGACTTAAGGCTCAGGTGATTAAGTGACTGGTCCAAGATCGCCAGGCTGGGACAAAGCAGGAAAGGAAGCCCTGGTCTTCTGCTTCCATCTAGGCCTCCCCTGTAGCCCACAGCCCACAGCCTGGGCGGGGGTTTCTGTCTCCTGGAACAGCTGAGCTGCACATCCAGGGCACTGCTCGGCATCTTCCTCAGCCGCCCCCCCCCTAGGCACAGGGTGCAGATTCTGCCCAAGCTAAGTCTGCTTTTCTCCCATGTGCGCACCAGAGGCACTAACCCGCATAGAGCTCCCTACCCCGCCCCGCCCCGCCCTGCTGCAGGCACCAGC